GCCCCGTCGCGCAGGCGCCGGCGCTGGCGGCGGCCAGCAGCGCCGGCGCTGGCGCCGGCGACGACGCAGCGACACTTACCACCACTACCACTACCACCACCACCACCACCACTATTACCACCACCGCCGTCGCCTCAACCCACCACCACCACCAACAGCACCACACAACCACCACCACCACCAGCCACCACCACCACCACAACCACCACCACAACTCACCATCACCACCACCACCACCACAAAAACCCACCACTACTACCATCACCACCACCACAATCTTCCACAGCACCACCACCACCGCCACAACCACCACCACTACCAGCAGCACAACCCACCACCACCACCACAAACCACCGTCGTCCTCGTCGACGCTCCCCACCACCGCCGCCCGCCGCCGCAGGCGCCGGCGCCGGCCCAGAAATGGAAATCGTCGTCCCCGCCGCCGTCGCCAACCGTCGCCGACACAAGCGCCGGCCCGAAGAGAGGGGACGCAGAGAATGGGGGGGAGTGGATGGGTTCGAACACCCCCCCCGTCATGGGAGGGGGAGGGGGTTCGAACCTCCCTCCCCGGGGGGGTCCGGTTCCCCCCTCCCCCCTCCAAACGACCACAGAACGCGCTCTTTCCGATCTTGATGTGCCGTGCCGAAGGCTGTGCTGTGCTGCGCCGTGCTGAACAGCGATGTGCCATGCCACGATTGTGCTCTATAATGTTGTGGGTCGAGTTCTCCGTTGCATCCGAGTCCTGACCGAACTGATATGGATCTTGAGCTCGAGCTGCCCTAGCACATAGTCCACATAGTAGCTGCCCCAAAGCTGATTGACAAAGAAACATGCCAGGAAAACGCGCCGCGGAACGTTCCAAGGGATACGCCAGGCGACGTGCCAGGGGACGTGCCACGGGGACGCACCGCGGGACATGCCAAGGGGACGCGCTACAGAACGTGCTGGGGACAAGCGCCGTGTTGGTGGCCTGGACACGTAAAAACACGGTGCCAGCTCGGGACAACCATGTTAAATACCCCCTTGGGTGGCGTGGACACGTAAAAACACCTGGTTCCAGCTCGGGACAATCATGTTAAGATCTCCCTGGGTGGCCTGAGCATGAAAAAAACACGTGGTTCCAGCTCGGGACAGCCATGTTAGATACCCCCCTGCGTGACCTGGATACGCTGAATTCGCGCTCCCGCTCGAGACATCCTCGCAACGTCTTCCTTAGAGAGGCCCCAAAGCGCAACCCCCTGTTCAGAGCAAGAAGCCATCACACTTTTCTGTATTGGGACACGTGTTCGGGTAGCGTTTTTCGGTCCCCCGTGCGTTTCCTCGTAATTCGGCGTTGGGCCCGACGCCATGTTAGATACCCCAACTCTGCAAAACCAGCGTCTCGCTCGAGACATCTTCAACAAATTCTGAAAAACAAGCGTTTCGCTCGAGACATCCCCCAACTCTGCAAAATCAGCGCCTCGCTCGAGACATCCCCAACAAATTCGGAAACCAAAAACAAGCGTTTCGCTCGAGACATGCTCAAAAATAATTCCGCCGGCCTCCTTCGAACTCGTCATTTATCGCAAAATAATTCCGCCGGCCTCCTTGAAGTCGAAACCGGGGGTAAACTAACTAAAAGAAAACCCTGGGCCCCCGCCCTTTCCGGGAACATGATCGACCCACGAACCCAAACATGATCGACCCACGAACCCGGAAAGGAATATAGAACTGTAACACATGGCAGCGTTTTCAAAGACACCTGATTGGGTGACCGGCAAAATGCAATGCTGAAGGTATCGATCTTGATGTACCCTGCCGAGGGCTGTGCTGTGCTGCGCCGTGCTGAATTGCGATGTGCCATGGCGCGACTGGGCTCTATAGCCTCGTGGATCCAGTCCTCCTTTGCATCCGAGTCCTGACCGAACTGATCTGGATCTTAAGCTCGAGCTGCCTGAACACATCGTAGCTGCCCAAGAGCTAATGGACAGGGGAACATGCCAGGAGGACGCGCCGCGAAACGTCCCAAGGGATGCGCCAGGCGACGTGCCAGGGGACGTGCCATGGGGGCGCACCGCGGGACGTGCCAAGGGGACGCGCTACGGAACGTGCCAATGGGTGTGCCACGGGATGTGCCAGGGGACGCGCCACGCGACGTGCCAGGGGAACTCACCAAAGGACGCCCCACGGAACGTGCCAAGGAACGTGCCAAGTTGCAATGCTGAGTGTATCGATCTTGATGTACCGTGCCGAAATATGTGCTGTGCTGCGCCGTGCTGAATTGCGATGTGCCGTGGCGCGGTTGTGCTCTATAGCCTCGTGGATCCAGTCCTCCTTTGCATCCGAGTCCTGACCGAACTGATCTGGATCTTAAGCTCGAGCTGCCTGAACACATAGTAGCTGCCCCAGAGCTACTTGACAAGGGGAACATGCCAGGAGGACGCGCCGCGAAACGTCCCAAGGGATACGCCAGGCGACGTGCCAAGGGACGTGCCATGGGGTTGCACCGCGGGACGTGCCAAGGGGACGCGCTACGGAACGTGCTGGGGACAAGCGTCTCGCTCGAGACATCCTGTCAAAATCATCTGAATTCCTACGCGCGGGACGCGGCACGCGCGAGACATCCTCAGAATTCCTACGAGCGGGACGTGACAACAAGCATTTCGCCTGAGACATCCTCTGAATTCTGGCCCCCCCACGCGGCCCCCGCTCGAGACATCCCCCAATTTTGCAAAACCAGCGTTTCGCTCGAAACATCCTCAACAAATTATGAAAAACAAGCGTTTCGCTTGAGACATCCTGTCAAAATCAAAAGAAATCCAAATTCCTGCGCGCGGGACGCGGCACGCGCGAGACATCCTCGGAATTCCTGCGCGAGGGGCGGCGCTTTTCCGTGTCGCGGTCGGCTCTGCAAAACCAGCGTTTCGCTCGAGACTTCCTCAACAAATTCTAAAAACAAGCGTTTCGCTCGAGACATCCCCAACTCTGCAAAACCAGCGTTTCGCCTGAGACATCCTCAACAAATTCTGAAAAACAAGCGTTTCGCTCGAGACATCCTCAAATAATACTCCGAAGTGCGTTCCGTGCGTGCCCGCTCGCATGCGGCGCCCATTGGCACACTCCGAAGTGCGTTCCGTGTGTGCCCGCTCGCACGCGGAGCCCATTGGCTTACTCCGAAGTGCGTTCCGTGCGTTACTCCGATGTGCGTTCTGTGCGTGCCCGCTCGCACGCGGCGCCTATTGGCATACTCCGAAGTGCGTTCCGTGCCCGCTCGCACGCGGCGCCCATAATAATTTCGCCGGCCCTACTCCGTGCGCGCCCGCTCGCAAAATAATTTCGCCGGCCCAAGTCGCAGGGGGGCCGTGGGGTTAATCTACTAAAAGAGAGCCCGGGGCCCGCGCCCTTTCCGGGAAAAAGGAATATAGAACTGTAACACATGGCAGCGTTTTCAAAGACACCTAATTGGGTGACGGGCAAATGCAATGCTGAGTGTATCGATCTTGACGTACCCTGCCGAGGGCTGTGCTGTGCTGCGCCGTGCTGAATTGCGATGTGCCATGGCGCGACTGTGCTCTATAGCGTCGTGGATCGAGTCCTCCTTTGCATCCGACCCCTGACCGAACTGATCTGGATCTTAGCTCGAGCTGCCTGAACACATAGTAGCTGCCCCAAAGCTAATGGACAGGGGAACATGCCAGGAGGACGCGCCGCGAAACGTCCAAAGGGATGCGCCAGGCGACGTGCCAGGGGACGCGCCATGGGGTCGCACCGTAGGACGTGCCAAAGGGACGCGCTACGGAACGTGCCAATGGATGTGCCACGGAATGTGCCAGGGGACGCGCCACGCGACGTGCCAGGGGGACTCGCCAAGGGACGCCCCACGGAACGTGCCAAGGAACGTGCCAAGTTGCAATGCTGAGTGTATCGATCTTGATGTACCCTGCCGAGGGCTGTGCTGTGCTGCGCCGTGCTGAATTGCGATGTGCCATGCCGCGGTTGTGCTCTATAGCGTCGTGGATCGAGTCCTCCTTTGCATCCGAGTCCTGACCGAACTGATCTGGATCTTAAGCTCGAGCTGCCTGAACACATAGTAGCTGCCCCAGAGCTAATTGACAAGGGGAACATGCCAGGAGGACGCGCCGCGAAACGCCCCAAGGGATGCGCCAGGCGACGTGCCAGGGGACGTGCCATGGGGTCGCACCGCGGGACGTGCCAAGGGGACGCGCTACTGAACGTGCTGGGGACAAGCGCTTCGCTCGAGACATCCTATTAAAATCATCCGAATTCCTACGCGCGGGACGCGGCACGCGCGAGACATCCTCGGAATTCCTGCGAGCGGGACACGAAAACAAGCATTTCGCCGGAGACATCCTCTGAATTCTGGCCCCCCACGAGGCCCCCGCTCGAGACATCCCCCAATTTTGCAAAACCAGCGTTTCGCTCGAGACATGCCTCAACAAATTACGAAAAACAAGCGTTTCGCCCGAGAAATCCTGTCAAAACCCCAAGAAATCAAAATTCCTGCGCGCGGGACGCGGCACGCGCGAAACATCCTCGGAATTCCTGCGCGAGGAGCGCTTTTCCGTGTCGCGGTCGGCTCTGCAAAACCAGCGTTTCGCTCGAGACATCCTCAACAAATTCTGAAACCAAGCGTTTCGCTCGAGACATCCCCCAACTCTGCAAAACCAGCGTTTCGCAGGAGACATCCTCAACAAAGTTTGAAAAACAAGCGTTTCGCTAGGGACATCCTCAAACATAATTCCGCCGGCCCTACTCCCGCACGTAATTTCTCGCAGAATAATTTCGCCGGCCCATCAGCCGTCAGATCCGGGGGTAAACCTCTAAAAGAGAACCCTGGGCTCGAGCCCTTTCCGGGAAAAAAGCGCGCTCCTTGCGCTTGGGACCTAACAAGCTCTAAATGTGGTTTGAAGAGTTCGGCGCCGGAGGACATAAAAGTCACGCGAATCGTGCCCCTCAAGGAGCTTCACCGACAGCCCCCGAGACAGGCTTGGTTTACGTCACCCGCCCTTGCCGGCACATGCCTCACAGGGATCGCGCCCCGCAAGGAGCCGACCTACGCCCCCGGAGACAAGGTTCGCACCGTCGCTCGCCTTCACGAGCGGGATGAGCTCGATGATCTGCTTGATGTCTTCTTGTCGTTCATCTGCTTCAGGTTCTGCTGGTTGAATCCGCCGACGGCTGCGTCTTCCTTCCTGACTGTGACCTTCGAGGAGGCCCGAGGGAGGCCCGAGAACGCCGCGGTGTTTATCGTACCGATCTTGGCCATCTCCGCGTCGATCAGAAGCTGGGGCGTACTGCTGCGGGTCTCCTCTGCCTTTTTTTAACCCACGCGCGGACATGCGAGAACCCGAGCCTTGATCGCCACGACGCTTGTCGCGCCTGGAGATATGAGATAAGTCTTGTTCAGGATGGATTCGGTCTGGCGTTGCCTCGTCGCCACACTGAGGAGCACTTGCGTAACGATGGGGAGCATATCCTGAATGTCTTTCATCTCCGTGTCCTTTTGCTGGATAGCGCCCAGGTCGAGTAGCTTGCTGCTCTTGGTGCCAGTCTGCTGGTCGACACGTTGCCCTCCTCGACGTCGCTGCTTCGACGTAGGTGAGGCGCCTGCCGGTGCGCTTGCGTGCTCGCCAAAGCTTGGTAGGGAGTTCATCCACAACGTACGGCCGAGGGACTGCGAGGTGAGTGTTTGCGGAAATGTGCCTATAGCTCAGGTAGGGTGGAAAAGGAAAGGTCGCAGTCTTGACTCGGGCAAAACAGCTGCATAGAGTTGTTTGGCGAAATGTAGACGGATCGGTGTTTTTGGCACCGTCCAGCACGATAAGCAGCAACAGTATGGTTTCTCGCAGCTTGTCTGCTCGCAAACGTCAATCGGCAAATCGGGCATGATTCGTAATCGTACATCGCGTGTACTCGCGAACTCGTCTGTGTTCTCACCCCCTCCCCGCTCATAGTTTGATGAACCCTGAATGTTTGTTTCGTTCTTGTTGCGAACAAGCATATCGCACCGTCTCTTCACATAGGGGGCCGCTGCTCTAGCAAACGTCTGCCGCTGGAGCCCTGGATGGTGGTACGGGTTGTGCCAGCCACCACTTGCGGCGCACACGTGCAACTGTGAGCATGACAAGCACACCTCGCCCAAGCGTCGGCCGAACAATACCCAGCAGGTCGTCGTCGATAACGTCGAAACAGGCACGACCGTTGGCGAAGGCATATGTACACATACGAAGCGCAACAAATAGTGAAGGGCAACATGCCCCCGTTAACGAGAGCTTCCACCTTGAGCGGTGGGCCAGGACTGGGCCTGACCAGCCCTGCCGCCCCCGACGAGGAGGAGGGGGAGAAGAAGCTGTGAAGCTGAGCTGCACGACAACGGAAGTCTTGGCACACCATGCGAAAGGGTGGACAAGGGTAGACGCATGGACCGCGTCGCCAGGCCACTCGCGGTCATCGTTCTACGGTGCTGTGGCACCTCCAATGGCGTTAAGGATGAACGGAACATCCTACTCTGGATGCGCCACATGCCCTGGTACTGCGTGCCCCGCGGGACGCCTGATTTGATACTGCAGACCAAGACGAACGCAGCTTTCAGGAGGTAAGGACGCCGCATCTGCTGATAGCACTGCATTGTTCGGAGGAGCTCAGACCCCCAACACCACGAGAGAATCGGCTGGTCGCCATGCGCCCAATCACCGAACGAATGCTCCCGACATTCTGCCCACTAGGCTATGCACTGGTGCCAGGACGCAGAGAACGGGGGGGAGGAGGCAAGGGAAGAGGAGGAAGAGGAAACGGAGGAGAAGCAGGATGAAGCAGGGCCGCGACCGTGCTCGCCAGGGACTGAAGACTCGAGACAAGCAACCCTGCTGCACGCGGCGCGCCTTCTTAACGAGCGCCTTCGCCATCTTGCGCCCGTACGGCACGTAGGACAGCGTGTACCTCGGTGACGGCCCGCAGAGCCCCCATGTAGAGCTCCTCCTCTCGCTTCCGCCCCTCTCCCTCGATTCCCCTCTGCCCTTCCCGCTCCCCTCCGCTCCCCTCCCTCACCGTTCCCATTTCCCCCCCCTCACCACCTTCTCGCGCCTCACCCCTCCCCTCCCATGCCCCCCCTCCCCTCCCACTCGTCGTGAGTCCTGCTCTTCTCCGCTCCCTCCCACGACGGCGCGCCTTTCATGCAACCGTCCCCTCCGCGACGAAGTTTTGTTGCTCTGGCTCGGAACTTCAAGGTGCAAAGGTTCTGTGCGTGCGTTAGCACATTCGGAATGGCCTTTGTTTGGCCGTTCCGACTGGCGCTCGCGCCCCAACGCCTGCCGCGCCTCCGCCCTTCTCTGCAACTACTCTTCCTGACGACGTGCTTCCACGCTCCTCTTCCGCCTGCTCTAGACATCCCCACCGTGGAACTGCTAAGGCAAGGCCGAAACACGATGCACGCTCCATACGGAGAACGATTAAAAACACTGCAATGCGCTGGGTGCCATCCCCCTGCACTGGCAGCGCCCCTGCCAGCGGTCACGCGCCCCCAGTCGATGCGCGTCTCGGTGGCGGTTGGCTGCTGCTCCTGCTTCTGCCCATGCCCATGGTCCTTCTGCTCTGCTCCTGCTTCTGCTCCTGCTTCTGCTCCTGCTCCCCCCTGCTTCCTCCCGTTCCCCTCCCGTTCCTCCTTGCGCATCAAGCCCTCACCGTGCCCCGAAGCACGAGTTGGAGTGTCCTCAGGTCCCTCCGGGTGCTCTACTCGGGGGCGCGCAACATGGAGTAGCGATCCTTGGATTTGGCACGCGGTCGCCGAATCCATGGGTCGGGGGAGGTGCCCTCCCCAAAATACGGCCGGTGCCGCCTCGCTCGGCGGCGGAAACCCGCGATTTCCCAGACCCGTCGCTAATCCATGCCCCCTTGATCCATGTTTGCGATCGCCTGACACATTGAACATTACCTGGCACGGTCCCCCCGAAAAACGAAATCGGGTGTCCCCAGGTCCTGCACGTCCTCTGTGCCGAATACTGGGATGCTCTTCGAAAGGGCCCGCGGCCCTGAGTTCCCGCTCCCGTGCGCTATTGGGCCTTGTCGGGGGGAACACCCTCCTCCTCCTCCTCCTCCTCCTCCTCCTCCTCCTCCTCCTCCTCCTCCCCCTCCTCCTCCTCCTCCTCCTCCTCCTCGTCCTCGTCCTCGTCCTCGTCCTCGTCCTCCCCCTCCTCCTCCTCGTCTTCGTCCTCGTCCGCCTCCTCCTCCTCCTCCTCCTCCTCCTCCTCCTCGCCCTGGGGGACCAAAAACGGCCAAGAGACGGATCAAGACGGCGGCCCCGAGACAGCCCAAGAGCGCAAGACGGCCTGAAGACGGCTCAAGGGGCCCCCAAAACGCCCTAGGAGGACTCCAAGATGCCCCCGAAGAGGGCCCCAAGATGCAACCATCCTTAATGTGCCTCGGATGCTTGAACAGTTCAGCGTTCTCACCTTTTCAAGCTTCCGACGCTCCTGGACGACCTCAGAGGCCCCAAGGATCGCCCCGAGAGGCCCCCAAGAAAGCGCCAAGACGGCCCCAGACCCCCAAGATAACCCAAGAGGGCCGCAAGAAGGGAAACTCGAACTGACATTTCGAGCCCTCCGCCCTGAGATGCTCCCCGAGACCACCAGCCGGCCTCCGAGAGGCCCCCAAGAAGCGCCAGTAGGCCCCCGCGAGGCCCAAAAGAGGTCCCATTACACCCCGACCCACCTCCAAGAAGTTTCCGACATGTATTGCATGTAGTGCGGCGCGGACAGTTGTACACTTAGCGAAGGCAGCGGAATGAGAGCCGTCTGATGGAGCCGAGCTAGAGCAACTGAAGTAAAGCTGCCAACTGGACGTCACGAAAGAAGGGCAGTACGAAAGAAGACCACTGTGAGCCTGGGCAGTGCGCCACCCATTATTTTGAACCATACTGGCTCACGAAACCTCGACGGAAACGCCCAGCCGCCGACAAAAAGCACCCGGGCGCCTGGTGAATTCTTGACGCCTCACGTATCCTCGCCAGCCCATCCAAAAACAATCGCCAGGCGAGTTGGCCTGATCAGGGATGCGTAGTAAGAGCGTGCGGCGCAGTAGTGACCCGCATCCGTCTTCGCGGATTCGTAGGAGGAGGAAGCGGACTAGGGGAGAAGAGGGAGGATGATGAAGAGGAGCCTGAGCAGAAGGATGAAGAGGAAGGAGTTGGGCAAGAGAAAAAAGAAATGCGCCAGAGCATGAAGAGGTCGGACGGGGGAAGAGGTGCTTGAGGGATGCAGGAAAAACACGAGGACCGAGAGGGGGAGGCAACGGGCGCACCGGTGATCCGCGCGGATCACCGGTGCGGCGTGCGCCCCGGCAAGCAGGGATGCAGGAAGAGGTGGGGAGGGGCAGGAGGAGTAGGAGGAAGTAGGAGGAATAGGAGGAAGTAGGCCTACAGGAGGAATAGGAGGGGACAGGAAGTAGGAAGTAGGCCTACAGGAGGAATAGGAGGAAGTAGGCCTACAGGAGGAATAGGAAGTAGGAGGAGTAGGAGGAAGTAGGAGGAATAGGAGGGGACAGGAACAGGCAGGAGGAGGCAGTGGCAAACACGAGGCCCAGGCAAGCTTCGTGAATCAGGGACGTGTAGCAGCACGCAAAATGCAACACAAAGAGAGAGAGCCGTTACATTAGAAAGGTGAGGATGATGCAGGAGGAAACGGAAGATGCACAGGAGCGGGGAGGGAGGACAAGAAGGAGGAAATGGAGGAAGGGGGGGGCAGGAGGACGAGGAGCAGGAAAAGGAAGGATGGGAGAGGAAAGAGGACACGACGACGACAGGAATCAAACATCGAGGCCTTTGCGGGTCTTTCGCTCTGGGTGCCCACTGGAAGCCCCTTGGGGTCATCCCGGGGCCCTCCTGGAGGTCCCTTGTGCCCCTCTTGGAGGCCCCTGGGGCCCTCTTGGGGCCATCTTGGAAGCCGTCGGTCAAGCAAGGGGGAGGTCCCTAATAAGGCCCCTCCGCTCTTGAGCCCCAAGAGTCGCTTCTTTGAGCCGTCTTTGGACGCTCTTGGGGCGCTCTTGGGGCCGTCTTGGGCCCCTGTTGGGCCTCTCTTGAGGCCCTCTTGGGCCAGCTTTGAGCCATCTTGAGGCTTCAAGAGCATATCTGAAGCGAAAAGGCGAGAAGGCAGAACACATTGAAGCACACAATGGTTTTGAAGGATTTGGGCCTCTTGGAGGCCTCCTTGGAGAGGTCGAAGGGCACTTGGGGTCGTCCTGGGGTAGTCTTGAGTGCTCTTGGAGGCGTGCTGGAAGCTATATTGAACCATCTTGGGATGTCTACAGCGATCTTGGAGGCCTTTTCGGGCGCCCTGCGGCCCCGTTGAGCCATCTTGGGCCGTACTGGGCGCTGCAACGGCACGCGGCCACCCCCCGTCCAGACACAGGGGGAGAGGGGAGGGAGAGGGGGACCCCCCTCCCAGAAGGGGAAGAAAAGCGTTGGAAGAAATAACTCGTTAAACCACTCACGCTCGAAAAGCCCCGGAAACCTCCCCGAAGAACCGCGTGTTTTTTTGTTCCCGGGTGCCCTCCGGATTTTTCTGCGTATGTGTGTGTGTGTGTGTGTGTGGGTGTGTGTTTTTTCCGGCGCGCGCGCCCACGAACAAATCCAAAAAGTGTGTGTGTGTGTGTGTGTGTGTGCGTGTGTGTGTGTTTTCCGGCACGCGCGCCCAAGAAAAAATCCAAAAAGTTGTCGTGGAGGTATTCCGGCCGAGCATTTTTTTCTCCCCGAAGTTTTCACTGGG